GAGCAATAGTTTATCATCTGCTCAAAAAGTCTATTTGGTGGGGCAGACAACAAGGAGAAAGCTTAGAAGAGGTGAGAAATCAAAACCACTACTTCCTCGGTTTGCTTTTCCTGTCTAATTACATACACTGTCCACATAATTAACACTCTAAATTACTCTACTTGTGCACTGCAAGGTCTCATTCTGGGTTTATAATGTATTTCTACAGCATGTGCAAGGTAAGTCTGAGCAGTACACGTGCTGGGCCCTGATCCCCACCTGCTTTGGATACTGCATGGCGGCTGCATGAAGGATATCCTGAAGGGCAGGTGGGCTCTGGCCACCATTCAGCAGAGCTGGGGACGTGGGAGCCAGCATCTGCCGCACTGACAGGTGATTCAGGTCCACGTGGAAATCAGCAGAAATCTTACGGTTGTATTTTATGTCAAACAGGGACAGAGTAACAAAGAAAGGCTCTACCTGAATAAAACAGAACAATTCAGATCATCACTCTGGCTCAAACAGCTGGGGAAAAACATGCTGATATCAAAGAAAAAATGATGAGACCTATTTATAGACTGCTGCCATAAATTACTACTAGAGATAAATAGTTTTGTCTTGTATCACATAGAGAATTAGGTTATAAAACATTTTTAAAACAAAACAACTATTTACCTTTATGTGCTTTGGTACTTAATGTATGCTCCACATAAAACGATTGTGGCTCTTCCTCAAGCACCTAGAACAGTGGCAAACCTATGGCACACGTGCCACAGCAGGCTGTTTGTTATCACTGGAAGATCTAACAGGTTTGCCATCACTAATTTAGGATAAAATCCTCCCCTGGAACCCTGAGCATAAACCTATCTTCCCTAAACATCACAAACGTCCTCAAACATCCTGTCCCCGAAGGCTGAAGAACCTCCATAAATATCCTGATCTAAACCTTCCACTTCTTTGGTACTGGCAACTAGGATTTCAAATGCAGACTGCACTGTAAATGAGCGATGTTCACATCTGGGATCTTTGAACATTAAAAAAATCTTTATTCTTAAAGAGGAAAATTACATTTGTAGTTGGTCCTTCTTCATTTTCAGCAACACAGCATTGCAAATTGAAAGATAAGTCATTGCACTTGACAAGGATCCTTTTTCCAAACTTCTCTTCAAATGGCTTCACTTCTGGCTCAGCTGGTGAAAAGTCAAGCTTCTTCAAAAGGAAATGTAAATAGATAAATGCACATGTTCCCTTTTAAACATTCCATCATAAATGTACCCAGAAAAACTGCCTAAAATACAGAAATGCTATAAATGCTCATTTATTTACAATAGTATTACTATTGTATAGTAAGTTCATATAGTTTATAATAGTTACAAACAGTTCATAGTGATGGTCAAGTAAACAATGATACACCTATTCAAGAGGTAATTATATAGGGCTTAAAAATTATGGTAATGAGCAACCCAAGTGTTCATTAACAGATGTGTACAAATACATTAAAATGATAAATATACACATACACATATATTTGTATACATATACACAATTGAATATTAATCAGCCATAAAAAAGGAAATTCTGATAATATGGATGGACCCTGAAAATACTATGTTAAGTGAGAGAATACACAAAAGAACAAATACTCTTAATCTTCTCAGCCCACATCTATGAGGTTCCTAAAATAGGTAAATTCATAGAGACCAAAAGTAGAACAGGGGTTATCAGGGGATTTGGGTTAAAGGAGGAACAGTGAATTACTGCTTGATGAAATTTCA